CATAGTTAAGTAATTGATTAAAATATAGTAAGGTCAGGCTAAGAACAGTCTTTTAGTACATGATTAAGATACTTTCTACATTGTTAATTGGCAACTCTGGGATATGGTTACTTAAAATTTAAAAATATTTCTCAATTATGCTACCTTGCAGCTATGTTCAAGATTTAATAATTGTCTCTAGGGATATCTTAGTTTCTTGATCAAGTGTTCTGTCAAAACCAGAATTCTGTAACATGCATTGGGTTTTCCAGACTTAAAAGCCCTTTTATTAGCCGGGGACCAGTGGCTCGCTCCTGTAACCATAGATATTCAGGAGGCTGAGATCTGAGGTTCACAGTTCAAAGCTAACTAGGTTAGGGAACTCTGGGACTTTTATCTCCAGTTAACCACCACAAAGTCAGAAGTTGAGCTGTGGCCCAAGTGATAAAACTCTAGCCTTTAACTCAAAAACTCAGAGACTGCACTATTCCCTGATTTCAAGTTCCAGGCCAGCACAAAAAACTCCAGCCAGACAAACAGAAAACAAGCCAAACCCTTCTAGTAAAGAAATATTGAAATGACTTTTTGATAGTAACTGATTATAGTGGAGAGTTTTTGTTTCACCTTAATTTTTTAGTTAGTGGAATTCACCAATATTATTTGGATCCTTTCAGCTGCCTTAAGAACTTAGCAACTTTTACTCTTCCTTCCCCCCTTTACAATTAAAGCATTTTCTAATAGTGAAGAAAGCAGAAGCCTTTCAAGAAACTTGATCATGACAGCTGTGTACCGTCTGCACAAGGTAGTGTTGAATAAGCAATTGTATAAGGATGATTTCTAAAGGCAGTCTTGAGTAGGAATGCCAAAGAAGCCTCTACTTGTATACCCATATTTTAGGTTTCTGATACTCATCAGCTTTCAGGTTCTGTTGTCTGTAAGGTAGATCTTTGCAATCACAACCTTGAAAGTCCTAGCTGTAAAGTTTGAAGTAAGTTATACCAGTTTTAAGGTTGTAGAAATTCAGTTAATGAAATTCAGAGATTTTTTTTTTTTGGATTAGCTCCATAAAGTATAACCTTTGTAAGATTATTTCTCTCCTAATTTAGGTGCTGGTGGCTGATATTTGTAATCATAACTCCTAGGAGGCTGAAACCTAGAGGATCATGGGTCAGAGCCAGCCTGGGCAGAAAAATCTATAAGACTTTATTATCTCCAGTTAACCGACAAAATGCCGGACTGGTGATAGGGCACCAGCTATAAGAAAGCCGAGCTAGAGCAAGAGGCCCTGAGTTCAGATTTGAGTACTGGATTTATGTGTTATTTTAATTTCCTTTTCGCTTGTATTAGGCTAAATTCAGAACATTGTATACTCATTTGGCCTTCTTTCTCATGCTGGCACTCTACTATTTGAGACCTACCTGTAGTCAAATAGTTTTGCTGGTTCATTGGATATATTGTATCAAACTGTTATGCTTGACTTTAATACGCTGGCTAAAATTCATAAGGGATAAACCTTTTCAGATTTTTGAAGAAATTTTCTGTTCACTGATAAACTTGAGAATAAGCATCAGTTATTAGGATTACCTTGTGGTAGTATGATTAGACACATTTGGTTAAAATTAGGATGGAGAGGACCATAGGGAAAGGCTCTAGGGAGATGATTTTTTCTTTTTTTAATCAGAACTAGGAAGAACTTGTCTAGAATCTTTCTAAATAAACAAAAGGGAATTATGGCGGCGGCAGCGGCGGTGGTGTGCGTGCATGTGTGCACATGCGCGCGTGCGCGCGTCTATTCATCCTTGGTTTTGAGGAATAGGCTGGCTGACCATTCAGCTGGATCCAATCTCTGAAAATATGGTTGGATTAGATGGCCCTTTGTAACTCAGTAATGATAAGTCACAGTGTATATTAGGGGAAGAAAAGCTGTTTTTGTAGGATAGCTGATTTACATTTTTGGTAGGAATTTTATGTCTTATTTTGAAGTCTTGAAGACATCTTGTTTAGTCTTTAGAAACTGATTTTGTGTATTGATGTGCATTTACTTTTTACAAGGGAGTTATTAGAAGCTTGTGGGTGTTGTTAGTTCAGTGGTATAGTGCTTGGCAGGCATGCTTTGAGACCCTGGGTTCCACTCCCAGCACTGCAAAAGGAAAATTAAAGTAATGTTAAAACTTCAAACTTTTCAATTTGTCTTAACTATGTCATCATAACTTAGGTTTCCTTACAGGATAAACTGGTTCAAAGTTTAATCTGTTTTTAATCCTTTGGAAGTATGTGTAAATCAGTAATGACATGTCTTGAGAAAATGAGTTAGTTTGTAGTTGGTAGTTTAACAAAAGTATGAAAGATAGCTGTTTAAACTGATTTTTCTAGTCTCTTGAAGGAAAAAAAGTAAATTTGATTAAATAGAAGCTTTAGTCGTTTATGTTTGTAATCCTAGCTACTTAGAAGGTTAAAATGTGAAATTGGTTCAAATCCTGCCTGGGCAGAATCGTCTGAGAGATTCTTTCTCCTATTAACCAACAAAAAGACTGGAAGGGTAGGGTGGCTCAAGTGGTAGAGCACTAGCTATGAAACATAAACTTTAATATGCATGTGTGTGCACATATTTCAAATGACACTATGCTAATAGAGAAATTTAATTTTAGCTTCAGATTGTGTGATAGCAGTTTAGAATGAATATTGCTGAAGTAATTTAAGAAGTGTTTAATAAGATGTGAGTCATAGAAGTAATGAAGAACTTGATTTTTCTGGATTATTATGTATTGTGGTTCCTTTGAATCTTTTCCTTTTTATTTTAAAGATTTTTTTATTGTGCACTCTGGGCCAGTATACTTTGGAATTGTGACTGAAGCAGGAATTTAGATGAAATTTGTATTTTGATGACTATTTCTTGAAATGAGTAATGTTTTGTTATTACAGATTTTCTTACTGATTTGTAGGATTAGACTTTTTAGTTTTATTTTTCTCATATTGCCTTAAATACAAAGACTTTGTAGCTCTCTTATGGCTTTTTTTTACGTGTTTACTTATGTGCTCATGGCTGGTATTCTACCACTTGAGTAATGTCTCAAATCCTGTTCTTTAAAATTTGTTTATAGATATAAAAACAGCAGTTTAAAAAATTCTTATTGTAGATGTAATATATTTGTAAAAATACTTTTTTTGTGTTGGCACTGGGGCTGAACTCAGGGCCTAGGCACTGTTTCTTAACTTTTTTCATTCAAGGTAGGCATTCTACTATTTGAGTCACATCTCTACTCCTGGAGTTCTGGTGGTTACCTGGAGATAAAAGCCCATGGAGGGGCTGGGAAGGTGGCTCAGTAGTAGAGTGCTTGCCTTGCATGCCTGAGGCCCTGGGTTCGATTCCTCAGCACCACATAAGCAAAAAGAAAAAAAGCCAGAAGTGGAGCTGTGGCTCAAGTGGTAGAGTGCTAGCCTTGAGCTGAAGAGCTGAGGGACAGTGCCCAGGTCCTGAATTCAGGCCCCATGACTGGACATTCCCCCCCCCCCAAAAAAAAAAAAAAGAGCCCATGGGCTTGCCTGTTTGGGCTTGGCTTCTGAGCCTCAGTCCTCAGAGATTGGCTTTCTTAGTAGTTAAGATTACAGGTGTGACCTGATGGTAGGGGAAAAACAAAGGAGGGAGGCAACAATGCTGGATAAGAATGTACTTGACCTTGATCACGTAACTGTAACCAAAACTTACTAAAAAAAAAAAGATTACAGGTGTGAACCATTGGTGCCCAGCTTTATACTTGTAAACTTTAAAAAGTCCCTTTAATAAGGGATTTACCTATTTTGTCATGTTTTCTTCAAATACTTCGTGCTTTTTTTAGATGTATATAATTTTTAATATAAATCTGGATGTTTTTATTTGATCTGAATGACCCAGCCTTTTTCCTACTTACTTGAAACAAAATATAAATTTTTGTATCTAATTGTATTTGGGGTTTTGAGTTCTATTGTCTGTTCTTTAATCTTTTGCTCAATTTCATACCCCATGTTCAATTATCTTAGCCTATACTCTTGATTTTAGAAAGTGATTTCATCATTTATAGAATCCTCTAAACTAGAAAGATAGGTGTGGTCTTAAGACTCCTCACTCAATTTTACATAATTATCTTACCTTAGTTGTTCCACTCAAGTATTTCTGCTTGCATTGACTTGATATAATCTTCTTTGATATATTAGAACTATTGAAGTAACTTTAATTGGTATTCTTGAACTTACTATTTTTTGGAGTCAGGGTCTCACTATGTAGCTCAGGCTGACTTTTTAATTTTATGCTATCCTATTTCTCAATTTTTGCTTTTATTTTCTAAGCTATTTGAGTTCCAGTAAGAAAGTTACTGCCTGTGTCTTTATGTGTTTTTCTTCATCAGTTTCAGAAGTTCAGATTTTTTTTTTGTACGTTAAAATTCTCAGGGTTTTTTTGTACGTTAAAAATGCAAGTTAGTTGGCTTTATCCTAAGGTTTTAAGTGCATCTGTATTATATATCCTTTTCTACAATATATCTGAGGTAACATTAGAATACAGATCACTTTTCGGTAGTCTATACTTATTGACAATTTATATGAAGAACCTAACACCAGAATCACTTTTTTGCTTTGAGTTAATTTTATCAGAAACTATCCCCCGAGGTAAGGGATGTACTATAGTCAAGGCAGATCTAGCTAAGTATTCAGATCACAGGTCTTTTTTTTTTTTTCCCACTTCTTGTAACAATTGAGTTAATCTGCAAGTGGGGCTGATATGCTATTGGTGCTTTTCAACATTTAAATAGGGCTGTGGTGGTCACTTTTGCATATACATTGTTTTGTTTTATGCAGTAAGTGGTGCCTTGAATGATCCACTTCAGTTTTTTCCCCTAAAGTTTAGAAGTTTTAGTGACTGTCCTGTGTGTGTGTGTGGTAATATTTCATACCTTTTTATTTTCACATATGGTAAGTAGTATACAACAGTACCATACAATAAAAGGAAAAAAGGCACTTAAAAGAATGGGGATTTTGTAAGATTTAATTTTTATAAGATTTGACTGATTTTCTTTTTCTCCCTTGCCTCCCATTTAGGTTTTATAGGTTCACATTAACAAAAGCACCATGGAGTTTTATGAATCAACATATTTTATTGCCCTTATTCCTTCAGTAGTTATTACAGTAATTTTCCTCTTCTTCTGGCTTTTCATGAAAGAAACGTTATATGATGAAGTTCTTGCAAAGCAGAAAAGAGAACAGAAGCTTATTCCTACAAAAACTGATAAAAAGAAGGCAGAGAAGAAAAAAAATAAAAAGAAAGAAATTCAGAATGGGACCCTCCACGAATCTGATTCTGAGAATGTACCTCGAGACTTTAAATTATCTGATGCTTTGGCTGTAGATGATGAACAAGTTGTACCTGTTCCATTGAATGTGGTTGAAACTTCAAGTGGTGTTAGGGAAAGAAAGAAGAAGGAAAAGAAACAAAAACCTTTGCTTGAGGAGCAGGCCATCAAAGATATTGATGCATCAAAGATTCCTGGCAAAAAAATAGAACCTGTCCCAGTTATAAAACAGCCTACCCCGCCCTCTGAAGCATCTGTCTCAAAGAAGAAACCAGGGCAGAAGAAGTCTAAAAATGGAAGCGGTAATCTATTTAACTTTATTGCATGATTGTATTAAGTCTGAAAGCTTAAGTTACTATGTGTTTACTTTCATCAATATTGTTGATAAAAAGTAATGTCAGAAAGCAGTATTTTAAACATCTTAGAACTATAGAAAGAGCTGTGTGCTCACAATTTGTAATGCTATCTACTCAAGAGGCTGAGATCTGAGGATTCAAGTTCAAAGCCAGTCTGGGCAGGAAAGTCCATGAGACACTTAGTCCCAGTTAATCAGAAAAAAGCCAGAAGTGGAGGATGGCTCAAGTGGTAGAACTCCAGAGTCATGCCAGAGAAAACACAATGCCCTGAGTTCAAACTCCCAGTAACAGCACCAAAAAAAGGAAATAAAATATATAAATAGGAAAGACTTTAGTGGACATTTACGAAACAACTGGTGGTCTTACTAAAGCCACTAAGGATTTGTAGTTATCATCAGTCAGAAATTACTACATTAATTTTGAACCAATGCTTTCTAGTTTGTGATAGGAATTATAGATGAAAATATATTACTTCCTTTGATTCAGTTTGCAAACACTTATTGGGACATCTTTATTATGTGAGACATTATACTAGGTACTGGGACTACAAAGATGAATAGTTCGTTTCAAGGTAGTTACATGTTAGCTGGAGACACAGACATTACTAGGTCATTAAAATACAAAAACTTTGTTGGGTACTGATGGCTTACACATGTCATTCTATCTATTCAAGAGGCTGAGATCTGAGGATCGCCATTTGAAGCTAGCTCAGGCAGGGAAGTCTGTGAAACTCTTATCTCAAACTGCCAGAAAAGCTGGAAGGAGCTGTGGCTCAAGTAGTAGAGTGCTACCTTGAACAAAAGAAGCTCAGGAACAGTGCCTAGGTCCTGAGTTTGAGCCCGGGACTGTCATACAATGCACAAAAATACATAAAATTTTTAGTGTGATACTTTAGGTATGTCTAAACCATTGTAAGAGTTCTAAAGTAGGCCACTTAAAGTATAAAGTTCTGGGAATTTTCAAATTTGAGTAAGTGCAAGCTAGGCTTTTTTGGCTGTCAGGAATGGCTGTGATAGGGACCCAAGGGAGGTATAGGTGTAGTCAGTTCTATATATCCACAAATTCTGTATTGTCAGATTTAATCATCAGTTTAAAATATTCCATTTAGAATTGTATCTTTTATTGAGCAGGTACAGGCTTTTTCTTGTTATTCTTTGAATAATACAGGGACCATTTTTTGTAGTATGTACATTGTATTAGGCATTTTATAATCCCTAAAGTGTATGGGAAGAATACATAGGTTATATGTAAATCTTAGGCTCTTTTGTGTAAGGGACCTTAGCATCTGTAGATTTTGGTGTTGCAGGGAAGTTTTGGAACCAATTTCCAAAGGGATATTAAAGGATAACTGTACAATGGAAAGGACCTTAAAAATGGCAAGTGATATGTAGAACTGAGAACAGTTCACTTTGTATGAAAGGACTTAAAAAGTCATTTGTTTATCTTAAAGAGTGTCAAGTTGTTTACAGTTATGACCAAGAATCGTTCTACAGAAATAAGAGTAAAGTGAGGAAGAAAGATACCTAAGCCAGTCACAAAATGTGATGGTATATATATGTAGAGAAGAAATGCAGAAGTCAAAGCAGCTATTACAGGTACTGCCTGGGGGTAGAGGGATAAGGAGAAGGATAAAAGTCAAAGAGGAGTTGCATCTTGAAGACTGAATCACTTCAAGCAAATAATGGAGTTCATTCCACATTGACAGAATAGAATGTGTGAGGAAACAGAGGGAAGTATATGTAGAATGTTTTTATTGCAGCCTAAAAGATCCCAGTATCTAGATCTTGATCTTTTATGTACCATTCATTCCAGGAGCTGGGACTTCTTAGGTTAACTGTTAGTGAAGATTTTCAAGCAGGTTAGTTACATCAGATTTATAGTTTAGAGATCTTTGGGAGATTTGTGACAGCAGATTTTATGTGGCAGTTTTGAGATAATACTTAGCAGGCAGTTACAGTTTACAAAATAAAAAATGACATGACCAAGCTCATTATAATAGGGATAGGTAGTTAAAGGTGTAGACAGGATTGGCAAACTATAAGCTGTGAGCTTTATTTGTTGCCCACCATGTTTTATGGCCTGTGAGCCAAGAATAGATATTACATTTTAAATGGTTGGAGAGAAATAAATAGACAGATGATACTTAGAGATGTAGAAATTATGAATCAAACCTCAGTGTCTTTAAAGGTTTTAGTTTTGGTACAGTCTTTTCTTCATTTATATACATCTTAGCTTTCCCTGTGCAGAGGCAGATTTGAGTACTTGTGATAAAATCTGTAGTGGCTTGCAAAGCCTAAAGAATTTTCTGTCTGGCCTTGACAAAAAGTTTTGTAATTCCTGATTGAAATGTGGTTGTTAGTATAAGAGAATGGACAAATTAGAGTGATTGGAAAGGAGAATGCTTTCAGCTTGTGGTCCAGGTGCTTGTAGCAGCCGAGGATGTGGTAAGATATGTGATTGTGGAGGAATAAGGTTTTCATGTGTGTACACAATAATTCAGAAGCTTTAAAGCTTGAAGATAGTAACTGAAGTCCACTGGTATAGGTAAGGACATCCAAAGGATCTATTTAAATTGAAGATATAACTGAAGAATATCAGCATTGAAGCAGTTCACAAGGAGAACTATAAAGAATATTATGAGCGTAAGGACGATTCTAGGAGCTGATATAAAACAATTTTTTTATTTTTATTTTTAATTTTTTTTGGGTCCGGTTGTGGGGCCTGAACTCTGGGCCTGGGCGCTGTCCCTCAGCTCTTCAGCTCAAGGCTAGCGCTCTACCACTTGAACCCAGCACCACTTCTGGCTTTTTTCTTTTTTGCTTATGTGGTGCTGAGGAATTGAACCCAGGGCCTCAGGCATGCAAGGCAAGCCCTCTACCACTGAGCCACCTTCCCAGCCCTAAAACAATTTTTTTTAAAGGAATTTTTTCTTGTGGTACTGGGGTTTTCACTCAAGAGTATTATAGTTGCTATGTTATGTGCTGTACTCCAGGGCCCCACCCCTACCCCCTTTTTTTCCTGTACTAATTTTTGTCAGAGTTTTATGTTTTTGCCTGAGGCTTGCCTTAGACTATAATCCTCCTTCTTGAGTAGCTGGGATGACACACAAAATCTAGAGAATGTACCTTTATCGTGTAGATCTCTGACTCTAGAGAAGTAGGAGTAAAGTGAGGAAGAAAGATACCTAAGCCAGTTACTTATTCCTGTAAATAATAGCTGCTTTGACTTCTGCATTCCTTCTATACATATACCTACATCACATTTCTACATCCAGACTTCTTAATCAGATGGTGGTCCCTCCTAACTTTTTGTTCTATCTTTATCTCCTGAGTAGCTAGGGTTATAAGAGTGAGCTACCATATCTGGATTTTTTTTTTTTGTGTGTGTGTGTGTATGTGTATATATGTGTTGTAAAATACATATAACATAAAACTTAACATTTGAACAATGTTAAGTTCTGTGGTGTTAATAAGTACATTCATATTTTGTAGCCTCTGCAAAATTCTGGTCTTCTCCAGCTGAATCTCTAGACCCATTAAACACTAATTTCCTTGTCCCCTAGCTCCAGGCAACCACCATTCTACTTTCAGTCTTTATGAATCCAGCTACCTTTGGAACTTCATATAAGTAGAATTTACAATATTTGGCCTTTTGTACAAGCTTATTTCACAAGCATAATGGAGAGGAAATTTAAGAAAGGGATGAAGACTAACACAATGAAATGGTGAAGAATAGTGAAATAAGGATTGAATATTATTTATAGTATGTAGCATTTGGGACACTGGAGACCTGATTTAATTCTTTTATGGAGTGAGAAATAAAAATTAGGTTTCAAAATTAGTTGAAAAGTGATTGATAGAAAAGGGAGTATAAACTTTTGTCTATATAAAGAAATGGGTGTAAGAGGCTGGAAATTACAGTGGTAGGGAGGGTTTTATGTTATATATATTTTTAATTATAGAGACCTGACTATACTATAGGCTGAGTAGGATTAGTAATGGAATAGTAGGATTAGGAGTGGGATATAAAAGAAGAGGCAAGTACATTGAAGAGCTAGTATAGCAGACTAAGAAAGCTGTAATGAAAAAGTCTTGCTGAGAGGTAAATATCAGACATTAAGATTTTAGTGGTAAAACATTCATAAGAAGCATTGATTAATAACTACAACCTTTTTGATGTATTTATTTTTTTCTATGATGTTTTTTTTTTTGTGTTTATGGTTAATAAAGATGACCTGGAGAAAAAGGTAGACACGCTCATGGCACCTTCAAAAAAGCAAGAAGTATTACCCTTCCATCAAGAGATTAAGCAAGAAGGTGGATCAGGAAAGAAGAAACTTTCATCAAAGAAACAGAAGGCAGAAAATGGTAAAATACGCATATGTACATATAATAAAGGCTAATTGTGGAGAAGTACATTAGGAGAGGAACCCTGGAGATTTTACAGGATTTTGAATTCCCAGTTTGTTGTTTTAAATTTTATTTACTGTAAAGATGCTGTACAGAGGGGTTATAGTTACCTGAATAAGGGAATGGGTACATATCTTGTCAAGCATTGTTATCCTTTCCCTTGTTCTCCCACAATATATCCCTTCCCTCTCCTACCTCCTTCACTCCACCCAAAGTTGTAAAGTTGGAATTCCCAGTTTTAATATGTGTTATAATTGAAATTCTAATTGAGTCAAATTCTCTTTAGCTTTTTGGCTTTGTCTTGCTTTAACAGATAAGGCTGAATGAGTATAAATTTGCGATAAGAAATTTATCTGAAATTTATACATTGTAAATATTCTCATTCTTAGTTTTTGGAGAAAAATATCATATAAACTTTTTTTTTGCCTGCGCTGGGGCTTGAACTCAGGGCCTGGGTGCTGTCCCTGAGCTTCTTTTGCTCAAGGCATCACTCTACCACTTGAGCCACAGTATCACTTCTGGCTTTTTCTGTTAATGTGGTTCTGAGGAATCGAACCTAGGGCTTCATGCAGTCTAGGCAAGCACTTTACCACTAAGCTACATTCCTAGCCTCTAGCATATAAACTTAAAGAAGAAAAATAGTTCTGAAATAATTAATTTTTTCTCCATTTAATTTTTTATCATACTTATTAACACATTACTTGTACATATTAGTGAATTTCACTGTGACATTTCCATACATGCAAATATCATACGTTCATCATATCTACCTTCCCTATAATCCTTTTGTGCCTTTTCTTCCCTCCTCTAGTCTCCTGTTCTCTTTCCTTTTCTCTTAAGGTCTCTCTTCTACTTTCAGGTTATTTTTTTTCCTTATGGTTTTCTGTATATGAAAAAACAATGTAATGCTTAAACTTTATATCACTTAAGATTATACTTGGAGACATTAGATGGATATAGCATTATCCTTCATCTTATATAAAATTTGCATGTTGATATGGCTGACATCCTGTTAAAAGGGACAAAGCATTGTTACATTTTCAGAAGTTTTACAAAGAAAGCTTGATTATAAACTTCATGGAGATTAAACAGTGATTTCCAAATAGTATTGGGTAGTGATAACAACTAATGTTTAGAAATAACTAAAGCCAAAAGGGAATGAATGGCTCAAGTGCTTTTCTAAGCAATCATGAGGCCTAGTACCATTAAAAAACAAAACAAACAACCCAAAACCCAAAGACAGAACCCCAGAAACATTATAAACTACCTAATGGAAATGTAAGAAGTTTTTAGATACTATTAGAGGATGTACTCATTCTTTAGATGACTGAAATGATTTACTAGAAAATAAGTATATTGGTACTTTTTTTTTTAATTGTGAAAATACCGTACAGAGGGGTTACAATTATATGGGCAAGGTAATGAGTACATTTCATTTTTTTTTTGGGTCCGGTCATGGGGCCTGAACTCTGGGCCTGGGCGCTGTCCCTCAGCTTTTCAGCTCAAGGCTAGCGCTCTACCACTTGAGCCACAGCGCCACTTCCGGCTTTTTTCTTTTTTCTTATGTGGTGCTGAGGAATCAAACCCAGGGCCTCTGGCATGCAAGGCAAGCGCTTTACCACTGAGCCACCTTCCCAGCCCATGAGTACATTTCTTATCAAGCATTGTTGCCTCCTCATTTGTTTCCCCTTCCCATCCCTTCCCATCTCCCCCCAAAGTTGTGAAGTTCGTTTTTTGATATAACGACTTGTACATCTCATTTTTGCAATGGGTCCAACTGTATCTCTATTTGGTACTTTTGAATTAGGTGAGTGTTTTGACTTCTTTTTTGGTGGCAGTACCATAACTTGAACTGAGAGGGCCCTATGTTCTCAGCTTGGAGGTGAAATCCCACAGACTTTTCTCTCCTGGCTAGCTTAGTTCTTGATCCTTTAAGTCTCAGCCTCCTGAGTAGTTAGGATTACAGGTGTAAACCACTTGCACTTAGTTCTTGGACTTTTGACATAAGAATTTAAAGCTAAATTGAGCAAATTAGAGCTTTGAAAACTGCACTTACCATTAAATTTCAAGCGTGCTTTGCATGTTTAATTTCTTTTGCTTTATAAAACCTCCAGTGATAATGATTTTTTTGAACCTAAATTGCAGTGTTGGTAGATGAACCCCTTATTCATGCAACTACTTATATTCCTTTGATGGATAATACTAACTCAAATCTTGTGATGGATAAGAGAGAAGTTACTGATCTGATTAAACCTGACCAAGTGGAAGGGATCCAGAAATCTGGGGCTAAAAAACTGAAGATTGAAACTGACAAAGGTAATATATACAATGTCATATTCTGTTAAATTATAAAATGCCATTTTTGAGTTTCATGGGGTTCAGAATGTTTTCTTATTGTGTCAATGAATTGGAAAAGACTTAATAGAATCCTTACAGAATCTTTCCAAAAGACTTCTAGGTAGTCTTACAGTCTACTCTTCTCAATTTGTAGACCTGGACATTGGAATTTGATTTGCTTTAGGTCCTACAACTGTTTTGCTTTCTGGTTATCTTTTTCTTCCTGCCGTTATCTCCTGTGTGATACAAACTCTCCCCCCCCCCCATTTTTTTTTTGGTCAGTTGTGGGACTTGAACTCACTGCCTTGGCACTGTCCCTGAGCTCTTTTTGCTTAAGACTAGTGCCCCAGCACTTTGAGCCACAGTGCTACTTCTGTTTTCTGGTGGTTAATTGGAAATGAGAGTCTCACTGATTTTCCTGCCAGGGCTGGCTTTGAATCATGATCCTCAGATTTCAGCCTCCTGAATAGCTAGGGTTACAGCCCTGAACCACTGGTGCTTGGCTTTTACTCTTGAACTTTTAAAATAGGAACATTTTAAGAGCAGTTTTAGGTTTACAGTAAAGTTGTGTGGAAAGTACAGAGTTTTCTCATGTGCCTTCTTAACCTCATGAATACACACAGCTGCCTTTTAAAATTTATATAACTGAAGTGGTAAGAGCAGTAGGCTCCTTTGGGTTGGATAGGTTGCAGTTCTACATCAAGAAGGTGAGGTTAGTGCCTATTAGAGAGAGCCCTGAGAAATAGGAATGGGTGACTTCTGAATGTTTTTCATGAATACAGACTTTTAGTGTTAGGATTGCTTGTAAATACTTGCTCTTCATAGAATCAGATTTCATTATCTTAGAGATTAATTTATTCAACTGTGGGATTTAGTTTATATCTGTGGGATTTAGTTTATCTCTTGGGATTATTAAATTTAAATGAGGATATTGTGAATACATTTGATAGAGTAGCACATACTGGCATTTTAGCATTCTTCAGTTTGTGCAAACTTTTACTTGGTGTAATTATTCTGTAGTACAGATGATAAACACATTTTCCTCCTTCTTGACTAGAGCATTCATTGTTATTTGACCTGAAATGTAAGTCCATTTTTTCTTGGTTGTTAACTTCTGGCTCAGGAATTCTTGATTTTTATTTTTATGGAAGTTATTTCTTATGCCTCTAAATACCAATTTTTTTCTTTAATTAAGAAAATGCTGAAGTAAAATTTAAAGATTTTCTTCTGTCCTTGAAGACTATGATGTTTTCCGAAGATGAGGCTCTTTGTGTTGTAGACTTGCTGAAAGAGAAGTCAGGTGTGATACAAGATGCTTTAAAGAAGGTAAGCTTATTTGATTTTGGTGAACAGTTTAGAAGTCCTTCAAATAAGACTTCAGCCAGAGGAACTTTGTTATTGTCTATTCCTGTCTTTAATATCCTGAACCATAGTCATGCCTAAAAGTTCTGGAGTGCTTTCAGAAATTGTTTTGTGTAGTTATACTAATTTTTGTGCTTTAATTTAGCTAAGTAACTTTTGTTATGTATCGAATCATGTAATGTTTTGACAAGAGCCAATTGCTTAAAAATAAATACGATTTTTGTGGTCTTGAAGTTATTTGGCACTTGGCTAAACTGTACTATGCTTTGACTAGAATTGTTAAAGTCAAGATCAAGTAATTGCTGTATAGTATATATGGAATACTTTTATGATTGAAGAAGCACATTCAGATATCTTGAGATCTTTGTTCAGAGTGTGTATATGTTTAAAATTTCTATATTTCCCTTCAAAAGTAAGTGATTTGCATGGCAGAATCATTGCTGTGGTAGATTTAAAAAAATATATAAAATAAACTCTAAAACAAGAAAACTTCATGGATTTAATATTGTTCTTATGGAGTTCACTATATCATCAGGTATACTTTGTCATGGTGGAAAGGTTACTTATGTAAGCTAACATGGTGCTGGTATTCAATATTAGGTGGTTGACTTAACTTCTTATTCTAAAGCTTGGTGTGTGTATATGCACACCCTACCTGCATCCTTATCTGCTTTAAATAGAGTCTTACGTTAAGCATCAATGTAGGTCTTGCTTGTAATTTCAGTTGCTAAGGAGGCTGAGATCCAGAGGATTGGGGTTTGAAGACAGTCTGGGCAGAAATAACCAAAATAACCAGCAGAATGCCAGGCTGGAGCTGTGACTCAGTGGTAGTGCAGTAGCCTAGTGAGTGCAAAGCCTGGATTTCAAGCTCTGACATTAACACCCCAAAATTTTTAGAGTGGTTTAATTTTTTCTTCAAATGAAAACCATTCTACCTTTTCACTTATCTAACTACTCTCAACAGTAAGAACATTTCTTTGGTTAATAAAGTGTTTATTACTTATTATATTTTCTCACTGTATAAACATAAAGGGAGCCATTTCTTTTGATGTTCAGCTATAATTTTCTGTAATATAATTCTTATGTAATTTTCTGTTCCCTTTATCAGTTTTCTCTTAGATGTAGCATGTCTTTCTAGTCTTTAGTTTCAAGCCAATATTTATTATTGAGAACTTTTCTTTTTTTTTTGGGTCCGGTTGTGGGGCCTGAACTCTGGGCCTGGGCATGAGTCACAGCGCCATTTCTGGCTTTTTTTTTCCTTTTTGTTTATGTGGTGCTGAGGAAGCGAACCTAGGGCCTCATGCATGCAAGACAAGTGCTCTACCACTGAGCCACCTTCCCAGCCCCTACTGAGAACTTTTCTATGTCATTGAAATAACGGAAATAATCTTTATTAAGCACTTGTCTTTTCTTTGTCTCTCTTAGCTTTCCTTTCTTAGTCCTTAAAAAAAAATTGAACAAAATAACCAAAAAAAACCTTAATATTTTATTTTTTATCTACTATCTACCCTTGAGAGAAAAGACCCTAGCCCTTCCTTTTTATAGCAGTGTGTTCTTTTCTGTTTGCTACCTGTAAGAAGGCAAATACTGGGAAGCTGTTACTTTTACTTTGAGATTTATTAGCTTATGTTTAACCTCATTATGTGGTCTTACTCTCTGAAGTTTTGTTTGTGATTGTTTTCTCTTTTCTAGAAATAACTACTATATTAGATCTGTAAAGATTGTGGTGACTTTTATTACAGTTTTTGTTAACAACTTTTTTTCTGCTAATTTTTTTCACTTACCATTTGTATTTTTCCTACAACTTTCCTTTTTAAAGTAGGCTGTGTAGACACATTGTTATATTGCTCTGTCTAATTGTCAGTCTCTCTCTCTCTTGAATGTTTGTCTGTCCATTTGTCCGTCTGTCCATCCATCCATCCATCATCCATCCATCTTGCCTGCTTGCCTGCCTGCCTGCCTGCCTGCCTGCCTGCCTGCCTGCCTATTTTGCCTATCTTGTCTATCCTGTTTATCCATCTTGGTCCTGGGGCTTGAATTCAGAGCCTGAGTCTGTCTCTGAGATTTTTTGCTAGTATCTTACCACTTGAACTACACCTTAACTGCTAGCTTTTTGGTGGTTAATTGGAAATAATTTTATGGACTTTACCTGTCAGGCTGGCTTTGAACTGTGATCCTCAGATCTCAACCTCCTGAGTACCAGCATTACAGACACCATGAGCAGCTAGTGCTTTGCTTACTTTACTTTTTCATTTTATTTTACTTTATTTTAAATTTATTTCACAAATACTTCTCCCCTAAGAAGGACATTCTCTTAGGTCATCTCTATGCTTGAAGGTGATAATAGTGAAGGACTAAGGCAGGCTGATAGTCTTCTGAAATAATCCTTTGGCCAAGTTAAAGTCTTCCAGATAAAGACTTGTGGCCTTAGTAGAGAAAAGTCTCTTTCATTCATTCTGCTTCATTGTTAGTGCTCTCTGAGCAAAGTTTATGTGTTTTTTTTTTCTTCCTTCGTTCTTCCTCCTTGAGGCTTTCATTGATTTTTTTCTTCTGTGAAATGCTTGTTAACTTTAGAGAACTACATACCCATGGCATCTCTGCAGCAATAGGCATGCTCTGACAGCATTGTTAAGCATCTGGGTGGGTTTGGTCTTTACTTCTATGTTAGTATTGTGTTGTGATTATAAATACATGATTGTTTCATTGGAGGTAGGTTATGTTTTGGTTTCATATTTCTTTTAGTCTTCTAGAAGGAAAAGAAGGGATATTGCTAATTTTGACTTTATGCTTAAAACGAGAAGTCCTATAATTCTTTGTAAAATGTGTGGGTGTATGTTTTTTTTTTTTTTTAATTTTGTCTGTTGTGGAGCCTGAACTCTGGGCCTGGGCACTTTCCCTCAGCTCTTCAGCTCAAGGCTAGTGTTCTACCACTTTGAGCAACAGCACTACTTCGGCTTTTTTTTTTTTCCTGCTTATGAGGTGCTAAGGAATGGAACCCAGGGCCTCATGCATGCAAAGCGAGCACTATACCACTGAGCCACCTTCCCAACCCTATAAAACGTGTTTCTTGATATGTAATTCTAATTGATTGGTAATTTTCAATAAACATTATAATGATTTTCCTAAATTTTGCAGTTTAGGCAGTCACTTTACTTTGTATGCTGTACATTGACCTCTACATGGACCCAAAAACTTGATATTAGATTATTTCATTTATAGTTTTCATTGGCCATATCAACTAATACTGATCTGAATTGATGTCTCATTGTAGTCAAGTAAAGGAGAATTGACTGCACTTCTGCATCAGCTTCAGGAAAAGGACAAATTGCTTGCTGCTCTAAAGGAAGATGCTGCTGCAGCAAAGGATCGCTGTAAACAGTTAACCCAGGTGAAGACATTCTTAGGTTCAATGGATATAGTTCCTAAATCAAAACAATGAAAGGATAAACATTGCCCCTTTTCCCTGATTTCATTATTTGTATAATAAATTTATACCAAAAAATAACTTTTTTCAGAATTTTTGTAGTAAAGTTTCTTACTCAAGACATAACCTATGTTATAGTTGAATTATTAATTTAAAATAACAGTACAGTACTTAACTAGATATCTTAATCTTATGCTATCAATCTGGTGAGAGGCCTGGGAATTTATTTTATTCATTTATTTATTTATTTTGTCGGTGTGGGGCTTGAACTCTGGGCCTGGGCACTATCTCTGAGCTCTTCAGCTCAAGGTGAGTGCTCTACTACTTGAGCCACAGCGCCACATCCGGTTTTCTAGTGGTTTATTGGAGATAAGAGTCTCATGGACTTTCCTGCCTGGGCTGGCTTTGAACTGTGCTCCTCAGATCTCAGCCTTCTGAGTAGCTAGGATTACAGGCGTGAGCTACTGGCGCCCAGCGGAAGTTTATTTGAAAATAGATAGACCTACATCTATTCTCTGTATAAGAACAAAACTTGATTGTAATCTTGTTTAAGTTCAATTTATGGGGTAAATGAAAAGCAGTCATAGAAGTCACTTATTTATAAACAGTATGTTTACAATTTTTATCAACTTCAAACCCCATTAATTTTAGTTTAGAAGGGGAAGAAACTACAAAACAGCAACAAAAAGCAAAACAAACTTAAAAAATTATGTAGAATAAAAGAAAATAATTCAAACTCTAAAAATAATTTGATTTTCTTCCTCAAGTGCTTATTTCTCCATTTAAGAATTAAATATAGTGGGGAAATGAGTTTATGATTTATCCACCTACCTAGTTACTTGATGTATCTAGAGAATGAATAGGCTTTGCTTAAATATAAATCCTTTATGTTATTTTCAAGTGAATGAGAAATCAATGGAAGTACCCTTTTAGATATGATAAGTCTGCTTCCTTACGGTTACTTAGTTTTATGTGACAATTGCTTGTAGACTGTTTAAAAATAAGTTAGCTATTTTTTGATAACTTGTACTTAAGATGTGTATATTTCTTAGTTACATTGTGTATCAGTGCAACAACTTGCAAATACAAATAAAAAATTTAAGGATATAAACTAACTTAGAAGCAATCATAAATGGCAAAGTTGTTTTGTCAATTAGTTTCTTAGAGCAGGGACATGGACTAATTAGTCATATCTATAGATGACAAATTGGTTGGCTTTGATGTACTGTGGTAATATTCTAGGAGTTGATAACACTTGAAAAAGAAAGTGAAATTACCCTTTTAGTATTTGAGTTGGGAAGATGACAAAGATTTGACTTCTGACTTTTACCCAAACTTTTGTTTTAATACAGATATAATCTAATCTCGTCTAAGGGAAGAGATTAAGCTTTTTTTCCCTCTGTTCTAAGACCTGTTTTTTTCTTTTTTTTTCTAGGCCTTTTTTAGTATCCCCAGAAATAACAGGTCCTTGAAAATAATAACTAACTTTTGAAGTATGTTTTTAGTAATCAAGTTACACTACAGGATTTATCCTAGGCTCTCAGTGTTTTAATTTTTAAAGCAAAAAGTTCATTTTCTAAAGCACTTGGTGGCAAAATGCTTATAAAATGATCTGAACTTAGGTAAGAGGTAGAGTTAGTTTTTTTTTGTCTTTTTTTCCTTTGAATTTTTTGATTTTGCATTTTGAACATCTTTTTAGCATTCAGGATAATTTTACTCATTTTTTTTTGGGAGGGGGTAGGTTACGGGCTTATAGTACATTTCAAGTAAGTTCTTTATAGTTTTTTTTTTTTTTTGAATCTTCCCCTCCTCCTCATGTTTTACTCTTTCAGGAGCTGATGACAGAGAAAGAAAGAAGCAATGTGGTTATGGCAAGGATGAAAGATCGGATTGGAACATTAGAAAAGGAACATAATGTATTTCAAAACAAGATGCATGTCAGTTATCAAGAGACTCAACAGATACAGATGAAGGTATATTTTCGTTCTTTAGATATGTGATAAAATGAATGCATTTAGCTAATTAGCAGACTTCAAAGTATCTTATACATACAAGGCATTATGCTGGACCAGTGGCATAGAATAGCTAGTCAAATTCACTCCTCATTCTTAGGTAAATTTTCTGGTTAGGGCTTAGAGGTAGGGAGGCTGGAAGTAGATAAAGAAATAGACTATGAAAATAGATCCAGCATTATGTACCATGGAGCAATGGAGATATTAGGAAGTAGATAGAATGTGTTGATTTTTTTTTTAAATCAGGCATTGTAAAGTGTGAATGAGAAAAGGGTATGTATATAAGTGCTACTTGGTGTGATTCTAGGACCCAGGATTATGTTTCCACTGGCAAAAATGAGTAAGAGTTCTGGGAATTGGGAGCCAGGATAGAAATGAAGAAGAGAAAGGTATAGAGAAGCATGTAGGGTCCTATCTAAGGACCTTGTCTGAAGACTTGGCAGACAATAAAAGAGTTAAAGCAAGCCCGCAGTAATTATTATTATATTTAATTTTCACTCTGGTAACAATGTGTAGAGTCAAACAAGGGGTAATTTGAAGGGTTTTGGAGGAATTCAAGTCAGAAAACAAGGAGGCCAGGTGCCTGTGGCTCATGCCTGTAATCTTAGGTCCCGAGTTCAAGTCCCATGACTGACAAAAAAAGAACACATAAGGAACAAAAATCAGATGTTGAAAATGAAGGGATAAGTTTGAGTAAAAATAATAGAGTTGAGTAGATGGGGCTTGGTGTTAAGAACGGAGGGGAAAAATTGGAGCAGAGAGGGGATAATAGTGTATAATGATTCTTGAGTTTTGACTTACCTTTTGTCTCTTGTTATACTCTTGTTATACCTATCTTCTGTTAACATTTCTAGAGAGTCAGTTCTTACTGTTTGTCTTTTCCATGTGTCATGAGTTTTCATGATTCTACCTAGGTCTAGACTAGTGAATTCTGCCTCTCTTTCTCTCCTGCTCTGCCTGGTTCCATGTTCTGAAGAACATGGATTCAGTCTCCTTGCCAAGTGAGCTAATAATACTACCCTTAGTTGAATTCTCTGGGTCAGTGACACTTTGAAATCGTTACTTTCATTTGCTGGCTAATACTTCAATTTGGAAGGTCTGTCATGTCAGATTTAACATGTCTAAAGCTAAATTCTTGCCTGTTGATCAACATTATTTTCCTTATGCTTGAATCTTTTGCTTTTTCTTTCTCAGTCTGAAAATTGGTCTGAATCTTAAAGATTCAGATTGCACTTGGTTGTTAAGTATCTTTATTTCATAGTAGGATAATTATAGCCCCTTATTAATAGTTTGCTCTTTTCCATTCTAACTGTAACTGATACTAGATAATTTTTTATGACATTACTTTGATTATATTGCCAGTCTGCCAAAATTTATAAAATTATTCCTTACTGCTGAGTTCAAGTATTTTTCATGGAAATGTTACTGATAACAAAAAAGAAGTGAATGAAACTGTTGTCAGGTTGTTACTCTGTCTGTAGGTTCTAGCTTTCATTTGGCCCACTCTGCAATCTTGTCATTCCCCAGCCATTTGATATATTCTTTTATCAATCAGGTTATTGAATAACTGATTTAAAGTGATCTTCTCTTAATTCCTATTTATTGTTTATTTGAAATACAATCAAGTACTTGTAGCAACATCTCTTTTTGAAGGTGAAGATACCGAAATGATCCAACATTCTTTTACTTAATTACTTACGGAGATCAGGATATAGATTCCATATAAATTCTCTGAAAAATAAGGGCTGGGAATGTAGCTTAGTGGTAGAGTGCTTTACTTAGTATACATGAAGTCCTGGGTTTGATTCTTCAGTACCATACACACAGAAAAATCTGGAAGTGGTGCTGTGGCTCAAGCATTAGAATGCTAGCCTTGAGCAAAAGCTCAGAGATAGTTCCTAGGCCCTGAGTTCAAGCCCCAAGATGGGGGATGGGGGTAAGAAAAAAAGCATATCATTTTCAATTAATTTGAATTACTAATAAAGTTATCAACACTTAATTTCCCTAAAAAGTAATTTTTTTTTTTTTTTGTTGGTCATGGGGCTTGAACTCTGGGCTGGGTGCTGTCCCTGCGCTCTTCAGCTCAAGGCGAGTGCTCTACTGCTTGAGCCACAGCACCACTTCTGGTTTATTGGAGATAAGAGTCTCACGGACTTTCCTGCCCGGGCAGGCTTTGAACCGTGATCCTCAGATCTCAGCCTCCTGAGTAGCTAGGATTACAGGCGTGAGCCACCAAGTAATTTTGCATAATAAAGTAATATGTCTTTGTCAATGTAAGATACAGTGTTCTTCACTTCTGATCTGTTATTCTGAAATTAAAAAAATTAAAGTCTAGAAGAAAGTTACATTGGTAGTTGCAGGGGCTAGAGAGAAGGTTGAATGAAGATTACTGGTTAATAGACATAGATTATAGTTTTAAAAGAATTAGAGAAGCAAATGGTAGTGATGACTGTAAAATAGTAAAGATATGTTTAAACCTGTTAGACCTTTTATCTGTTATGATGGCAGTGATGTAGCTTATCAGTAGTGTTGGCCTAGGATGTTCAAGGGTCTGAGTCAGATTCCAAGCAGTCCCACCATAAAAAAGACTAATATGCTGGGTTCCAGTGGTTCATGACTGTAATCTAGCTACTCAGAAGACTGAGATGAGGTTCAAAGCCAGCCCTGGCAGGAAACTATGTGAGACTCTGATCTCCAATTAAATCACAGAAAAAGCCAGAAGTGGCACTGTGCCCAAATTGTAGAGTGCTAGCTAGCCTTGAGCAAAAACAGGAACACAGGGATAGCACCCAGGCTCAGAGTTCAAGCCTCAGGACCAGGAAAAGAAAAGATTAATATGTTAGTCTTTTTTTGTTGTTGTTTTTGTTGGTCATGGGGCTTGAATGCTGGGTGCTGTCCCTGAGCTCTTCAGCTCAAGGCAAGTGCTCTACCACTTGAGCCACAGCACCACTTCCAGTTTTCTGGTGGTTAATTGTAGCTAAGAGTCTCATGGACTTTCTTGCTTGGGCTGGTTTTGAACTGGGATCCTCACATCTCAGCCTCCTATGTAGGTAGGTTTATAGTCATGAGTTAGTCCATAGTATGTTTATATTTACTAGTAGGCAGGATATTTTTCAGGTAGGTTTTTGTATTATCTAATTATGTTTCAATTAGTGACTTAATATAAGTGCATTTGAGTATATTTTCAGTTTTTAAACTTTAGGTAACTGAACTCTTTCATTTAAAAATATTGCTAATATCAAACTGACAGGCAGGTGTAACCCTATATTGAGTAAGCAAGACCTAAATAATCTTTTAATTCTGAAATTAGGTGTTTTATATTTCAAATAAAGCAATGGCTAGCCTTATTTTTGATTCTGTTGCAGCTTCTATTTACATTTATCAGTTTATACTATTAATAAAGTTCTTTAAATGTGTTTATATTTACTTGAAAAGAATAATTCTGATTTTATTCTACATGTTATTTTTACATTCTCATGATAGTAAAATTTCTTCTAAATAGGTAACTTTTGGGCCAGGTATAATGGTACATATCCTTTTTCCCAGCTCCTTATCAAACAGGGACAGATCTCTGTTGGAGGCTGTGGGAGTTGTGGGGAAGATAAGAGGCTGAATGTAGGAGTAGATTAATGATCATATCTTAAATAAGCTGGCAGGAAAGCTAGCACACCTGTATTTCTAGCTGCTCAGAAGGTGGAAATCATTGCCTGAGGCCAGCTTTGGCAAAAACAAACAAACATGAGACCTTACCTGAAAAATGCACTAAAAGCATAAAGACTAGGGACATGTTTCAAGAAGCACTGAGTTCAGCACTCAATACTGGGTGTTGGGGGAAAAGTAGCTTTGTCAGTTTTTCTTTTCTAAATCTTTTTTGTGTAAAATAGTTTCAACAAGTTCGAGAGCAGATGGAAGCAGAGATAGCTCACTTGAAGCAGGAAAATGGTATATTGAGAGATGCAGTCAGCAATACTACAAACCAGCTGGAAAGCAAGTATGTTTCTAAAATGTTATATTTTAAGTTAAATATAAAGTACTTTTTCTTTTAATTGTAAAGGTGATGTACAGAGGGGATATACTTACGTAAGTCAGGTGATGAATACATTTCTTTTTAGAGTACTTTCTTAAATAATATTTGATAGTAATTGTTTAGACTTCTGTTTCTTACATTTGCTTGTAAAATTGAGTTACTTTTATAAACAATTCTTTTTCACTGTGTGAAGGACTTTAGCTACATATCAACTACATATCATATATGTGTATATAATGAATATATCTTTTTATGTATGTTATATACATATATATTTCTACTAGTGGAGCACTCTTAAAATTTATCAGGCTGAATTTAAAGTTTTAAACCATGTGTCCCCTATGACAGAATTCTCTAACTTCATTATTCTGAATAACACCTGACTAATTTAAAAAGCTCTGTGGCTCTCAGGTGATGCTTAAGAGTCTACAAGTAAAGACACATTCCTATAGATAAGATAGGATATAGATGATCTTGAGCCATTTGAGAAAAATTATATTTAAAGCTGAGTGCCAGTGGCCGATGCCACTGCCCTAGCTTACTCAGGATGCTGAGATCTGAGGATCTTGGTTTGAAGCCATCCAAGGTGGAAAAATCCATGAGATTTTTATCTTTAATTAAGCCACCCAAAAAGCTGAAAGTGGAGTTGCGGTTCAGGTGGTAAAGTGGTAGCCTTCAGGTTCTGAGAACTGGTGTATGTACACACACACAGACACACAGACACACACAGCACACACGTCAGTTTGAGTACAATACATTTTGATCAGTGTCATTTCTTTTATCTTTCACCCTTTCCTTTGATGTCCCTAATCTCTCCCAGCCCCACCAAGAAATAATAATTTGTAGAAACTCATAGTATAATCAGAGAAATAAGCATATTTTTTTATTTTTTAATAACATGAAAATTTATTTTATTAGAATTAAAAAATGTTCTTTCTCTGGGTAACCAGAATAGTCCAGTTGCAATGAATTGGTTGAGTTTAATAAGTATCTAGAAGAGAACTTTAAGAATGACATTGTCTAGTTATGCTTATGAGTTTTTAATCATCTATTTTACTTGATATTTTATATTTTTAGAAATGATATAATTATCATTAAAATTATTTAAGTGGCTGGGAAGGTGGCGCAGTGGTAGAAGGCTTGCCTTGCATGCCTGAGACCCTGGGTTCGATTCCTCAGCCCCATATAAGCAAAAAGAAAAAAGCCGGAAGTGGCGCTGTGGCTCAAGTGGTAGAGCTTGAGCTGAAGAGCTGAGGGACAGTACCCAGGCCCAGAGTTCAGGCCTCATGACCGGACCCAAAAAAAAAAATTATTTAAGAATTTTACCTACCCCAACTTGATTATTAATGATCAGTTGCGTTCCTTTTCATTTTGCCATCAGGATTACCAGTTCAGCAAAACTAACATAAAATATGTTGTATTTATTCTTATGTATATGTGTAATAATGAAAGGTTCCTAATGTAGTTATTGTTTTCAGGCAGTCTGCAGAACTAAATAAACTACGCCAGGATTATGCTAGGTTGGTAAATGAGCTGACTGAGAAAACAGGAAAGCTACAGCAAGAGGAAGTTCAAAAGAAGAATGCTGAGCAAGCGGTCACCCAGTTGAAGGTAATATATTTCCATTTTTACTACTTTTTGAGTAATAGAGATATTTTACTCGGTAACCTAAATGTGTGTTTAAATTTGAGAAACACAATTTGAGGTTGAATAAGACACATAATTTAAGTGCTCTGGCTATACAGAAATGTCTTGATGAAAGAATTGAATATAAACTTGAATTTGAAACTAAAGACTGAAGATAGGGAAAATATAGTTAGCTGATTGACTAGCATAAGTAAGTAGTGGAAATAAGGCCTACATGTTTAGGGAAATGTCATGTGGCTAAAATTACCTTTTTTTTTTTTTTTGTAAAGATACTATACAGAGGGTTACAGTTACATGAAATAAATGAGTAAGGTAATGAGTACACTTCCTATTGAGCATTGTTACCCCCTCCATTGTTTCCTCCCTACTATCCCTTCCCTCCCTACCTTCCCTGAGGTTCTTTTTTTTTTTTTAATTGTGATTAAGTGATTACATAATTTCCCACATTCCACAGTATTGTGGAACAATGATGCTCATTTAAAGTCATAAGCTCATTCTAACTTTCCTGGAGCAAATTGTCTATCATGGTCTATAACATATAACGGTGTACCACATATACACCATACATGTGATCAGCAGCATGGGGATATTTAGTAGTGGTTCGACCATATGAGTGAAAGTTCTTTGTTTCTTAAGTCCTATTAATTTTGTCGTATCACCTAACATTTTGGATTTAACATCCACTCTTCAGGGAGACCATGTACCGTTTGTCTTTTTGATCTTGGCTTACCTCACTCAACACGATTTCTTCTAGCTCCATCCATTTCCCTGCAAATGCCATTATTTTGTCATTTCTAATGGCTGCATAATATTCCATTGTGTATAGATACCACAATTTTTAGATCCATTCATCTGTGGTGGGGCATCTGGGTTGTTTCCATATCCTAGCTATTGTGAACAGTGCTGCAATAAACATGGAGGTGCATGTGTCCTTGTATATTGGTTCCTGTTGTTCAGGGTAGATGCCTAGAACT